CTTCAAGGGAAATATCCCTTGACTCCCTATCGCCCTCTCTTGTCCCTTCAAGGGAAATATCCCTTGACTCCCTATCGCCCTCTCTTTTCCCTCCAAGGGAAATATCCCTTGACTCCCTATCGCCCTCTCTTTTCCCTCAAGGGAAATATCCCTTGACTCCCTATCGCCCTCTCTTGTCCCGTCAAGGGAAATATCCCTTGACTCCCTATCGCCCTCTCTTGTCCCGTCAAGGGAAATATCCCTTGACTCCCTATCGCCCTCTCTTTTCCCTTCAAGGGAAATATCCCTTGACTCCCTATCGCCCTCTCTTTTCCCTTCAAGGGAAATATCCCTTGACTCCCTATCGCCCTCTCTTTTCCCTTCAAGGGAAATATCCCTTGACTCCCTATCGCCCTCTCTTTTCCCTTCAAGGGAAATATCCCTTGACTCCCTATCGCCCTCTCTTTTCCCTTCAAGGGAAATATCCCTTGACTCCCTATCGCCCTCTCTTGTCCCGTCAAGGGAAATATCCCTTGACTCCCTATCGCCCTCTCTTTTCCCTTCAAGGGAAATATCCCTTGACTCCCTATCGCCCTCTCTTTTCCCTTCAAGGGAAATATCCCTTGACTCCCTATCGCCCTCTCTTTTCCCTTCAAGGGAAATATCCCTTGACTCCCTATCGCCCTCTCTTTTCCCTTCAAGGGAAATATCCCTTGACTCCCTATCGCCCTCTCTTTTCCCTTCAAGGGAAATATCCCTTGACTCCCTATCGCCCCCTCTTTTCCCTTCAAGGGAAATATCCCTTGACTCCCTATCGCCCTCTCTTTTCCCTTCAAGGGAAATATCCCTTGACTCCCTATCGCCCTCTCTTTTCCCTTCAAGGGAAATATCCCTTGACTCCCTATCGCCCTCTCTTGTCCCTTCAAGGGAAATATCCCTTGACTCCCTATCGCCCTCTCTTTTCCCTCCAAGGGAAATATCCCTTGACTCCCTATCGCCCTCTCTTGTCCCTTCAAGGGAAATATCCCTTGACTCCCTATCGCCCTCTCTTTTCCCTCAAGGGAAATATCCCTTGACTCCCTATCGCCCTCTCTTGTCCCGTCAAGGGAAATATCCCTTGACTCCCTATCGCCCTCTCTTTTCCCTTCAAGGGAAATATCCCTTGACTCCCTATCGCCCTCTCTTTTCCCTTCAAGGGAAATATCCCTTGACTCCCTATCGCCCTCTCTTTTCCCTCCAAGGGAAATATCCCTTGACTCCCTATCGCCCTCTCTTTTCCCTCCAAGGGAAATATCCCTTGACTCCCTATCGCCCTCTCTTGTCCCTTCAAGGGAAATATCCCTTGACTCCCTATCGCCCTCTCTTTTCCCTCCAAGGGAAATATCCCTTGACTCCCTATCGCCCTCTCTTTTCCCTTCAAGGGAAATATCCCTTGACTCCCTATCGCCCTCTCTTGTCCCTTCAAGGGAAATATCCCTTGACTCCCTATCGCCCTCTCTTTTCCCTCCAAGGGAAATATCCCTTGACTCCCTATCGCCCTCTCTTTTCCCTCCAAGGGAAATATCCCTTGACTCCCTATCGCCCTCTCTTGTCCCGTCAAGGGAAATATCCCTTGACTCCCTATCGCCCTCTCTTGTCCCGTCAAGGGAAATATCCCTTGACTCCCTATCGCCCTCTCTTTTCCCTTCAAGGGAAATATCCCTTGACTCCCTATCGCCCTCTCTTTTCCCTTCAAGGGAAATATCCCTTGACTCCCTATCGCCCTCTCTTTTCCCTTCAAGGGAAATATCCCTTGACTCCCTATCGCCCTCTCTTTTCCCTTCAAGGGAAATATCCCTTGACTCCCTATTGCCCTCTCTTTTCCCTCCAAGGGAAATATCCCTTGATTCTCTATCTCCCACTAGTGGCCGAAGGGCAGAATACAGGGAGGGTATACATATATTCATTGACTCTTTACTGCCCTCTACTGGTAGGTTTGAGCATTGTCCCTTCAAGGTAAAATTTCCTGAACTCAGCATCTCCCCCTAGTGGCTGAAGGGCACAATATTCCAATACATATCTTTGTTGACTCTTTGCTTCCCTCTGCTGGTAGATCAGGGTATTGTCCCTCCAAGGGAAATATTCCTTGACTCTCTGTCTCCCTCTATTGTCCCTTCAAGGAAAACATTCATTGACTATCTCCCTCTAGTGGCCGAAAGGCGCAATACAGGGAGGTTATACATATATTCCCTGATTCTTTGCTCCCATCTGCTGGTTGGTTTGAGCATTGTCCCTTCAAGGGAAATATCCCTTGACTCTCTATCTCCCTCTATTGTCCCTTCAAGGGAAATATTCCTTAACTCTGTATTTCCCCCTATTGCCCGAAAGGCGCAATATTCCTATCATATCTACATTGACTCTGTGCTGCCCTCTGCTGGTTGGTCAGGGTATTGTCCCTCCAAGGGAAATATCCCTTGACTCTCTATCACACACTGTTGTTCCTTCAAGGGACATATCCCTTGACTCTATCTCCCTCTCTTGTCCCTCCAAGGGAAATATACCTTGACTCTATCGCCCTCTATTGTCCCTTCAAGGGAAATATCCCTTGACTCTCTATCTCCCTCTCTTGTTTCTCCAAGGGAAATATCCCTTGACTCTCTATCGCCCTCTATTGTCCCTTCAAGGGAAATATTACTTGATTCTCTATCTCCTTCTAGTGGCCGAAGGGCGGAATAGAGGGATGGTATACATATATTCATTGACTCTTTGCTGCACTCTACTGGTAGGTTAGAGCATTGTCCCTTCAAGGGGAATATTCCTTAACTCAGCATCTCCCCCTAGTGGCTGAAGGGCATAATATTCCTATACAGATCTTCGTTGACTCTTTGCTGCCGTCTGCTGGTAGATCAGGGTATTGTCCCTCCAAGGGAAATATTCCTTGACTCTCTGTCTCCCACTAGTGGCTGAAGGGGACAATACAGGGAGGACATTCCTACACATATCTTCATTGACTCTTTGCTGCTCTTTTCTGGTAGTTCTGAGTATTGTCCCTTCAAGGGAAATATATCTTGAGTGCTTTTAGAACATGGCCGTACAGCCCGAAAAACCTACAACCCAATATCTCTTGACTCTCTATCTCCCTCTAGTGGCTGAAGGGCACAATACAAGGAAAATACAGAATAATAGAAGGGACCCCCCAAAGGGCCTTCCAATTCACTTACAACATAATTGAAAAGCAAGGACTGTTGCAGTTTCTCCCATTTGCACAACAGGGAAATGTGGAGTAAAATTCCTGAGTTCGCATGAACCCTGTAACCATTGAAGAAAAGGAGCAAAAAGGTGGGGTGTCGGCCTGGATTTGGGACCCTGTCTCGGGTGCAAGACAGCTATGGCTCTTGCTAAACTTGGCACAGAGTGGAAGACATGGTTGGAAGATGCAATCCTTCCATAGATATAGATATGGCTCTTTTCGTTCTTACGGTGTGGCGTCCATTACTTCCTTCTCTCTACTTTTCTCTTTCTGGCTAAACGAAAACCAATATTTACCATATTTCTCTCAAACGTAGCTGGAAAAATTGGACGAGCGCAAGGCTCATGGGGTAAACCAAGGAGAGGCGGGGAATAAAATTATTATTATTATTATTATTATTATTATTCTCCTGGCAGCCTAAAGGGGGCGCCAATGTCAGGGATTCTAGGCGTCAACATATTGTGGGCTCCCTCTAGTGGACATAGCGATTATTGCAGTAACATTGTTATCTTTCTAGCCCTTTTTTAGGTCTTTGTGGGGGCACTTTTCACAACAGTCAGAAGCAACTTATTGCTTAAAAAAAATGGCAAAAAGTACTGGCTATCCCATTTTGGTTCATTTTATAAATACCTATTTTTGGCATTGATTCTAATAGCTGTGCCAACTTAGCCAAAGAGGCAAAATAACCCAATTTGCTGACTTTGGAAGGAATTGTGCAAGAAAAAGGAATGCCACCAAAGCTGGGCTTAAATTTACACCTTGTTGACATTGGCTTTTGATCTTTGTTCTCTGTGTGGTGGAGGTTTTAAAGCAGAGGCTGGATGGCCATCTGTCGGGAGTGCTCTGAATGCGATTTTCCTAATTCTTGGCTGAATGGGGTTGGACTGGATGACCTCCCAAGATTCTATGATTCTATGCATTTTAGGGTCCCTTGTTCCATCTGTGTCATTTAGGAATATTGATCCCCACCGTGAGCTGTGAAGACAGGCAGGCAAATAATAATAATAATAATAATAATAATAATAATAATAATAATAATGGATTTTCAGTCCAAAACACTCCTGTTTGTCATCTATTTTTTTTAAAACGGAGATGCATGAAAAACATTGCAAATCATAATCCCTGGGTTTACTTTCTGGAAGACCTATAGAAGGCAATAGAAGACGGAGTATATATATATATATGTTAAAAAAACCCATATTCTCCCACCCAGCTTCTTGCAGATCCTTTTTCCAACCCCATAAGCATTCACCGCCATCAATACCCCACCCCAGACCCCCCGTATCATTCCATCCCTCCCTCGCCACCCACCGTAACTTATTGCGTGTTGAAACCCTGTAAAGATAAATAGACATATGGCAAATTTGAGGATCCTGGGGGTAGTCTGTGTGTGTCTGAGTGTGAAAAGGGCCCACACGAGGGTGAGGCTTGCACAGTTTTGTGGGGCACCCCCTTCCGCACTGCCCGGATCCTTGGCTTGTTTGTGTCCCAGCGGATGGATGTCCAAGATGCCCTGCTTGACCCTTTTGAGATAATGGTGTTGCCACTCAGTGGCCAAATATAAATATTGCATGTTAGATGTTTGCATTTTCTCTCCTTTGGAAGGAAAGAAGATCACAAATGAATTCCTAGTGTCTTCTAATAAATGCAATATTGCCATCCAGTGGCCAAAAGGGGTATTACGCATCATGACTTCCACAATGGACAATGCCGGCATCTAGTGGTCGAAACCAGTACTGCAGTCTGTTTATTTTTTTCCAACATATGAAAACTGGCTCATTTGCAACACCTTGGTATTGCAATATATTTATTTTCTGAGATGGGGGCAAGGCAGAGACGGAAAGGTGGGGTCAGTCAATGAGGTTCTTTCCAGGTGCCGAATTTGACATTGTCAGACTCTAGAAAGGCTAGATGAACCGTAGTTTGTAAAAGGTTATCCTCTTCCTCCCTGAGCCGGTGAAAGCAAAGCTGGATTTATTTCCCGTCTCCATGAAAAAAAAATTCTGCATTGCAATACCCACAAATCCAAAAAAAGTGAAGTATGTTTCTTTACAATGGTTTCAAATGGGAGAATGCTGCCACCTAGTGGCTGAAAACAGGATAGCATATAAGTATTTATTTCTTTTTTTAAAAAAAACGGTTATGAAACGGAAGATCTTTTTTTCCCTGTAGTAGTAGTAGTAGTAGTAGTAGTTGATGCAGCATCCCTTTTTGTTGGGGGGTCAAAAGGACATTTATATACATTTTTTGTGTCCGGTTACTGTTTACTGCACCGTTTCATTTGCATGGACTGAGATAGGCCCATTAATAGAGATATATATTGGACAAAAAGAGAGACGCAAGAATCTCTGATACATCAGAATTGAAAACCCACAGTGAATTTGTCACAGTTTTTGGTGGGGGGGGGGGGGATGGTTTGCAGCATTGTTACGTCGCCCCCTAGTGGACAGGTGCCACATTGCACCAATGGCTTGAAATGGGGGTTGGGGGGAGGATGGGGTGCAATGAATATCTTCTCAGCCCCAAAATAGCCAAGTCAAGAGCAAAATGATTGGTGGTCTCAAGTACTCCTTGGAGGAGTCAGGAGTCAGAAGACATCTGGTGGGATGGCAGGGGGTCGAGGCGAGTTGAGGAAGGATGGCTCGTCTGTGTAGGATTCACCCTCCGGAGGCAGAGGAAGAGGAGGAGGAGGCGGCTTTGGGTGGGTGGAGGCGTCCCTCCCCAGCCACGGGGCTACGTGGCTTCGGCCTTAGAGGGCTCCTTCCCCGGAGGTCCTGACGGGTTCGCCTCCTCGGCCTTCTTGCTCAGGGCCAGCTCCACCACGTTGTGCAGGGAAGGCTCCCGGTACAAGGCCACTGCGGAAGAAGGAGGGAGGAAGAAAGGACAGCGGTCAGTACGGATGCGTTAGGAATCTCTAGGTTCTACAGTGTGACTTTGTTGTCAGTGAACACAGGACCCCGCCCCCTAAAAGATTTATAGCAGCGTTTCTCAACCTGGGGTTCGGGACCCCTGGGGGGTCGCGAGAGGGTGTCAGAGGCGTCGCCAAAGACCATGAGAAAACACAGTATTTTCTTTCGTCTTCTGAGTTCTGTGTGGAAAGTTAGGTCCGATTCTATTGTTGGTGGGGTTCAGAATGCTCTTTGCTTGTAGGTGAACTATAAATCCCAGCAGATACATCTCCCAAATGTCAAGGTCTATTTTCCCCAAACTCCACCAGTGTTCACACTTGGGCATATAGAGAATTCATATCAAGTTTGGTCCAGATCCATCATTTTTGAGTCCACAGTGTTCTCTGGATGTAGGTGAACTACAGCTTCCAAACTCAAGGTCAATGCCTACCTAACCCTTCCAGTATTTTCTGTTGGTCATGGGAGTTCTGCGTGTCAAGATTGGTTCAGTTCCATCATTGGTGGAGTTCAGAATGCTCTTTGATTGTAGATGAACTATAAATCCCAGCAACTACAACTCCAATCCCCCACCCCCCACCCCACCAGTATTCAAATTTGGGCATATAGGATATTTGTGCCAAATTTGGTTCAGTGAATGAAAATACATCTGCATGTCTGATAGTTACATTACAATTCGTAACAGGAGCAAAATTACAGTTATGAAGTAGCAATGAAAATAATTTTATGGTTGGGGGTCACCACAACATGAGGAACTGGATTAAGGGGTGGCGGTATTAGGGAGGTTGAGAACCACTGATTTATAGTATTCCAAGAGCAACAAGCCAAAATGAGATAATGCGGTGTGCTCCCTTCTGCATAAAGTATTATACAGCAGTTCCCTTTCTCTTACATGAAGTCTCCCAATGTTGTCTGTCAGCCTGTTCAGCCTGTGATTGTGTCTGATGTTCATGTCAATGCTAATGTTCATGATGGGAATGGGGTGTCGCACAGCAAGGCTGAAAGAACTTTGGAGTGTTTGAGCCCACAAACAGTTTATTGAATAGATGTAAGCAGTAATGAAAAAGGTGAAAAAGGCAAGTAAAAGATTATGTAAGGAAGTCTAAAAACAATCCAAACCAGCAGGTAGGCAAATATAACCCATGAAAGAGAACAGTGTTGATTCTTAATTCCACAGCAAGATCCACAAATGCATAGTCCTTAAAAAACCACCAAGGAAAAAGTCCAAAGTCTTTTGAAAAGCCAGGGAACAGGACCAAAATCCACAGAAGAATTACACAGGGAAATATTCACCTACAGCAACTTGAGTCTTGAGCAGAGAGTTCCATAAATCTTGACATGACATACATACAAGACTTGACCAGTAACCGATGTTGCGCTCACTGAAGGCAACACTGTAAAAGCCCTATATTTATTCAAAAAGACCGACACAAAATGCATTCCGATTCCCTTGAGAACTCTCCTGCAAATTCCAACTTTATTTTCTTTCTGTTATCTGTTTGCAGTCATAGGGCAGTCTTTTCTCTAATTCTCTAATTCTGACAGACCTTCGGACTCCTCCTTGCAGGTGGCGATCTTGACAGATTTGACCCCTTCTGTCAAAGGTTGATTCCTCAAAGTTGCTCGTTAACACATTCCTTTTGCTTATCTTTTGCTTTCCTTATCTAGCAACCCAAGCTGGTTCCCATCAGACTGTCTGGAAACCATTCTACCTTGAGAACTATCAATCCCAGTCTTCCGATTCCCTTTGCTCTGCAGTTTGTTCTGTGCCCTCATGCACAATCCCCTGAGAATCTACATTAAAATCCAGCATGGAAATCTCTGAAGGGTCCTGCTCTGAAGGAAATTGAACATAACCATAATCCTTATCTTGGGCACTGCAACAACCCCAGTCGGCTGAGCTCCTACATGGGGTGCCGTTCCTGTTGGTGGCATTGGGGATGAGAGTTTGCTTGGGCCTCAGTTAAGCTCAGACAAGAGGCCTGCACTGTCTCAAGAAGATTCCCAAGGCCACATTCCTGGGAGAGGCCCTTCACAGCTTTTCTCAGAACAACTGTCTGAAGATGATTTGTCAGGTGCAGAAAATAATAAGAGCTCAGAGAGAGCTGTTAATGAGAGCTTAGACAGAAACCAAAGTTTCTGTAAACAGAGACAGAGTCTGCAAAGACTCAGAGTGTCCTCTAGCTTACAGCAAAATAAAGATAACAAACCGTTTTCTAACAGCAAGGTCAAGAGGAATGCTTTCATTTCAGTTTTAGGACCTGGAAAAGCCTTATATTGAAAGAGTTACCTCAGTTGAGTCAACGTTGGGATTTGATCATGGTCTTGCTTTCAGGTTCTCTTAGTTTCATGTATCAAGTTCTTTCCAAGCTCCAGGTTTGTGTATGAGATTTTTCCTGCTGTCTAGTTTCATGGCAGTGTGGACTCAGATAAACCAGTTCAAAGCAGATATTGTGGGGCTTTCTGCTTTGATATCCTGGGTTATATGGCTGTGTGGAAGGGCTCGAAGACAAGAGACATCGGCCTCTGCCTGACCTAGAAGCAATGATCCTCAGGAAGGTCATGCCCAGGGCCATAGGCATGGTTCAGGCAAACCATCCAGCTATTAAAAGTCTCACACCCAACTCAAAACTTCCTGCTTGCCATGCTGGGAACTGGGAATCTGTGGAGACCGTGGATGAGCTCCCCATATAAGCTCCAGCTCCTCATGCGGGGACATAAGAGAAGCCTCCCACAAGGATGGTAAGACATCAAAAACATCTGGGTGTCCCCTGGGCAACGTCCTTGCAGATGGCCAATTCTCTCACACCAGAAGCAACTTGCAGTTTTTCTAGTCTGGTGGAGTTTGGGGAAAATAGACTTTGAACTTTGGGAGTTGTAGTTACTGGGATTTACCTACAATCAAAGAGCATTCTGAATCCCAACAATGATTGTGCTGGTACGGCTGTACCAGGAGCTCCAACTTTATTTTCTTTCTGTTATCTGTTTGCAGTCATAGGGCAGGCCTCCTGTCCATCATAATTAAGCTTTGGTTCCGCCCCTTGTTCAGGGCTCTGGGAGGGAAAGGAGCCATTTTTTCGTCAGTCTCACACAAGGAAGCTAAACTATAGGACGTAGACCAGCTCGTCCCATAGAAATGCTTCTTTTCCCAAGAACATCCTGGGAAATAGAAACAGAAATTCCAGGAGAAAAGTCCCAAGGCTCTGGCTGAGAGCTCACAGCCTCTCAGCCTCACAGCAATCAGAGGGAAAACAGCCCTGAAGTTTTCAAAGAATTCTCGGAGGGAGGACAGCATTACAGATCCATTGAACTCCAGCTTAAATATCTACAAGCCTCGGCTGGTAGGTCTACTTGATACCCAGACGCATTTGGAATCGGTAGTAGGACCCTCACCAATGAGGCATAGATAGTAAACAGCCTGGGAGAGGTTAAATAGGGTTTTTTTTCTTACAGAGAAAGTACAGTTAATCAAAATCAGGTACCAGCCCATTGAGGACTAGACTAAGAACGCCTTGAAGTGTTGTTTGAATCATTGAAGATTTGTTGTTTGTTCCATAATAAAGACTTTGTTGTATCATTAAGGACTCTAAAGACCATCACTTCAGAAAAATCCCTGAGAACCTCTCTTTGAGGCGCCTGCTGGGCTTAAAGTATACATCCTGTAGAAAAGACAGCTGTTACAGGCCCAGCGCGCGACAGAACAGATAGAATTGGGCCAAATTTGGCACACAGAATCCCCATGACCAACAGAAAATACTGTGTCTTATGATAGTCTTTGGTGACCCCTCTGACGCCCCCTTGCGACCCCCATGGGGGTCCTGACCCTCAGGTTGAGAAACACTGCTATAGGCCTTGGGAAGCTGCAACTCTCAAGATGCCATGGTGGTTTCGGATTGCCTCCACTTTGCAGTGTAGAGGTGACCCCAAATGACCCGTTCCTGTTTACCTTCCAGGAGCTTGGGCAGGAAGTGGGCGGCGGCCTTGGTCTTCTTGACCCGGTTGCCCTTCATGACCTGCCCGTCCTTGTTGATGCCCAGGTACCAGGAGCGGCCGGACTCCCGCTGGCGGTAGAGGGTGGAGGAGTACATCACGTAGTAGTTCTCAATGACGCACTCCTTGAAGCGGCACTCGGTGGTGAAGTGGGCCTTGTGAGAGGAAAAGGAAGAGGAAGAGGAAGGAAGGAGAGGGGTTAGACCCTTCGAGCATGACCACTTACCCACATACGGAAAAATATGTCCTCTCCAGGCATTTTTGTTACGGAATTTAGACCACAAAAAATGAGAGTCTGCCTGGTAAGCGTTGCTAACCATAATTAATAACCAAAGTTCCAGATGAAAAACCCACCAGGAAACAAAGACAAAGGACAGGGGTGTTTTATTGTATTCTTGGACAACAACAACAACAACAACAACAACAATAATAACTTTATTTATATACTACTTTATCTCCCCGAGGGGGACTCAGGGCGGTTTCCAAGCAACATCACCAAAACATACATCGTAAACAGCATAACATAAAATTAACAAAACAACATAAGCATAAAATTATCACAATAACACACACATAAATAAAAAATAATCCTGCCTGTTCAGAGCAATTAAAAGGTCGGGCCGAGGCTAGTGCAAACTCAAAATATGAGGGGACTGGAAATTAAGTACAGTGCTATAATAGGCTAACGGGAATAGCAAGTACGGGTCTGGGGCTGCTCATTTCCAGGGCCTAACAGAGGAAGTGACCGGGGTAGATAGGTAGGAAGTAGAAGGTCATATTCAACACTGTTTAGGTTGGATTACAACTGGTCATTCCCAAAGGCTTGTTGAAACCACCAGGTCTTCAAGCTCTTACGAAAGGAGGGGAGGGGAGGAATGGGACCTGTCTTATTTCCCTTGGAAGGGTGTTCCAGAGGTGGGGGGCCACCACTGAGAAGGCCTCTCTCTCGTCCCCACCAACCATACTTGTGATGGTGGTGGGAGCCAGGCCCGGAGCCAGGATTTCGTTTCGGGGGGGGGGGTGAATTTTTTGTAGCCAGGATTTTGATTCGGGGGGGGGGCTGAGTCTGAGTGAAAGAGGGTCTAGCAAACCTTTTGTATCGTTACCCCAATACCCCCATGCATATGGGATATATTGAGTATGGTGATCAGATCATGATATGAATAAACATAACAGTTTAAATAATGCACCAGTAAGGCCTTTTCGCGAACCACCATGAGAATTTCGGGGGGGGGGGGAAGCCCCTTAACCCCCCCCCCCCCCGGCTACATGCCTGGTGGGCAAAAGGAGGGCCTCCCCATAAGATCTTAAGAGTTCACACCGGGTCATAGAAGGTGGATTCTGGCATAGACACTGAGAACTGGGAAGCCCTGGCCCTTGAGCGCTCCAACTGGAGGTCAGCTGTGACCAGCAGTGCTGTAGAATTTGAAGAGGCACGAATGGAGGGTGAAAGAGAGGAACGTGCCAAGAGGAAGGCGAGTCAAGCCAACCCCAACCGGGACCACCTTCCATCTGGAAACCGATGTCCTCACTGTGGAAGAGGATGCAGATCAAGAATAGAGCTCCACACTCACTTACGGACCCACCGCCCAGCTTTGTTTGGGAAAAGTTACTTTTTCTGACTGCTCTCATGGAACTGCTCGCAAGTGTATTGTGCAAAATGAATCATAGAATCCTAGAATCAAAGAGTTGGAAGAGACCTCCTGGGCCATCCAGTCCAACCCCATTCTGCCAAGAAGCAGGAATATTGCATTCAAATCACCCCTGACAGATGGCCATCCAGCCTCTGTTTAAAAGCTTCCAAAGAAGGAGCCTCCACCACACTCCGGGGCAGAGAGTTCCACTGCTGAACGGCTCTCACAGTCAGGACGTTCTTCCTCATGTTCAGATGGAATCTCCTCTCTTGTAGTTTGAAGCCATTGTTCCGTCCTAGTCTCCAGGGAAGCAGAAAACAAGCCTGCTCCCTCCTCCCTGTGGCTTCCTCTCACATATTTATACATGGCTATCATATCTCCTCTCAGCCTTCTCTTCTTCAGGCTAAACATGCCCAGCTCCTTAAGCCGCTCCTCATAGGGCTTGTTCTCCAGACCCTTGATCATTTGAGTCGACCTCCTCTGGACACATTCCAGCTTGTCAATATCTCTCTTGAATTGTGGTGCCCAGAATTGGACACAATATTCCAGGTGTGGTCTAACCAAAGCGCGAATAGAGGAGTAGCATTACTTCCTTAGATCTAGACACTAGGCTCCTCTTGATGCAGGCCAAAATGAATTGTGGACCCACCGCCAGGACACTACAGTTGGAGGACCATCATCCTCGGATTATGAGGGATTGCCTAAGTCAGTGATGGGCAACCTTTTGAGCTTGGTGTGTCAAAATTTGCCAAAAACTTGAGCATAACTTGGGTGGAGTGTCACTTTGAGAAAAAAAAACCACATAATTTTGCAATATTTATAGTGTAAATAAGAAAAATGTATAATCCGTGCTGAGTTATGGAGTGAACAATGCTCAAATGTGCAGATGTTAAATTTGTAGAGCCTTTTACAAATTTAAGGATGGAATTAGATTGGCTCTTAAAAGGTGTATTTCTCTGTGTGTGGTCGCATGTGTCTGCGTGCAATCAAAAATAGCAATGCGTGTCAGTGCTGACACACGTGTCATAGGTTCACCATCACGGGCCTAAGTAATTGTACACAGTGTGGATGCACCCAATGTCTACTGAACTGGGACAAAGTTTGGGCCACAATTCATTTTGCACAACACACTTGCGAGCAGTTTCATGAGAGCAGTCAGAAAAAGTAACTTTTCCCAAACAAAGCTGGGCCACTCCTCTGCCATCTTTGGCTCCGCTCCGCTGATCTGCCTCCATCACTGTGGTCTGTAATCCGCTTTGCGAATAAAAGCAAGATTTCCCTCCCTTTTACAAAGGCTTTTCAATCATCCTAAGGATTTCGGGGTGGAGGGGTGATTATTTATAGATGAAGGGGATAATAGGAATCTGTTGTTGTCCTCATTCCAGCCATTCCCGATCTATGGCGAGCCTGGTTTTCACGGCAAGACGGCTTCAGAGTCCAACAACACAAACCAATACGACTACATTGATTGCAATTGAGAGATTGATAGAGCTATGCGTAGTGGTCGGAATTGATTTGCTTATTATGAACAGATTCCAAGAAGAATGAGGTGTAAGTTAGTTTCAGATTAACTTGATACTGAATAGTTAAGAGCCGTACAATTTACAAAAGGTCTAAGATTACCAGGGTAGTAGTAGTAGTAGTAGACTGCGAGAAGATCCAACCAGTCCATCCTCCAGGAAATAAAGCCCGACTGCTCACTGGAGGGAAAGATACTAGAGACAAAGTTGAAGTACTTTGGCCACATCATGAGGAGACAGGAAAGCCTAGAGAAGACAATTATGCTGGGGAAAGTGGAAGGCAAAAGGAAGAGGGGCCGACCAAGGGCAAGATGGATGGATGGCATCCTTGAAGTGACTGGACTGACCTTGAGGGAGCTGGGGGTGGTAACGGCCGACAGGGAGCTCTGGCGTGGGCTGGTCCATGAGGTCACGAAGAGTCGGAGACGACTGAACGAATGAACAACAAAGTAGTAGTAGTAGTAATAATAATAATAATTATTATTATTACTTTAAACATGAGCTACAAAAAGCATATTGATGATGATGATAACAATAATTAAAATCTATATAATTTACACTATTTATATTCCACCCTTCTCACCCTGCAGGGGATTCAGGGCGGATTGCAATGTACACATATATGGCAAACATTCAATGCCAAAGACATACAACACATATAGACAGACTTTTGCTGGAGTCTTTTTTATGGCCTCGTAAATTAGTTAAATTAGCCTCCTCACACATAGGTGGTACTTAATTTTCCTACTTGACAGACGCAACTGTCTTTCGGGTTGCAAAGGTCAACAACAAGCTACACAATTGGTCGGAAGCTCACTCTGACCCGGGCTGGCTTCGAACTCATGGCCTTTTGGTCAGAAGTGATCTGAATGCAGCTGACACTCAGACAGCTGTGCCAGACTCGTGTTTGTTTGTGGGATTAACATAACTCAAAAACCGCTGGACAAATTGACACCAAATTTGGACACAATACACTTATCAGGCCAACGAGCGACCATCACTCATAAAAACACTGAAAAACACAGCAGAAGAGACTAAAAAAGCAAAAAAAAAACCCAAAAAATACATTACAACGCATGCGCAAAACTGCATATATAACACAAACACACATATACAGAAATATACACATATACACACACACAAAACACATATACACAGACTGGGCCAAAGCAACGCATGGCAGGGGACGGCTACTCTATATAAATAAGAATGTAATGTTCGTTTGTGAGATTAATATAACTCAAAAACCACTGGACAAATTGACACCAAATTTGGACACAATACACCCATCAGGCCAACAACTGACCATCACTAAAAAATTTGATTTTGTCATTTGGGAGTTGTAGTTGCTGAGATTTATAGTTCACTTACAATCAAAGAGCATTCTGAACTCCACCAATGATGGAATTGAACCAAACGTGGCATACAGGACTGCCATGACCAACAGAAAACACTAGAAGGGGTTGGTAGGCATTGACCTTGATTTTTGGAGTTGTAGTTCACCTACATCCAGGGAGAACTGTGGGCTCAAACATTGATGGATCTGGACCAAACTTGGCTCGAATATTCCATATGCCCAAATATGAACATAAATGGAATTTGGGAGAAATAGACCTTGATATTTGGGAGTCGTAGTTACTGGGATTTATAGTTCACCTAGAATCAAAGAGCATTCTGAACCCCACAAATGTCAGAATTGGGGTAAACTTCTCACACAGAGCCCCCATGATCAAGAGAAAATACTGTGTTTTTGGTGGTCTCTGATGACCATTCTGACACCCCCTCGCAACCCCCCCCACGGGGTCCCGACCCCCAGGATGAGAAATGCTGCCTGAAAGCCAGCCAGTCCAACTCCCTTCACAAGTGCAAGAAAACAAAGCCCTCCTGACAAAGAGCCATCCATCCGTAGATATAGATAGATATATATGATTCACACACATATGTATATGACAAATGCAGTATCAAAGATTTGAAAGGGTCCCTTAAAGAAGGACAATGATA